CGCGTGTACACACACACACACACACACACACACACACACACACACACACACACGAGTCTCGGTACAACCTTGGAGTAATAATTCTGACGTCAGAATGATTACTCCAAGATACAACGTAAGTCGTAATCGACAGAGTCTCGGTACAACGTAAGTCGTAATCGTGCCCGAGTGGAATATTAGTGAGATATTAATTAACCCTATATAAACTGCCACCGCTGACCGAATTGTCTTAGAGTATCCATAACTGTAGAATCACCTACGAAATAAGTGTACCAAGGCTTCACGGTAGGTCTCATGAACACCTATGAACGAATTTGCGTACGATGCCTGTTATTTATTTACTAATCAGAAACTGGTTGAGTTTAGACTAATCAACAGACACAACAATGCAACCGGCATTATAACGATAGTGATTTTATTACTTTATGATATAAGGCACACTAACACACGCACGATGACGTCATAATGACGTCACAATGACGATACACGCATATCTGCCGAGTTCTCAGCCGTGATCAACATACCGACAGGCGAGGATGCTGTGTATGAGACACGTGACGGTCATGCGCATGCGCGCGCTGCGAGAGTTAACAAGGCTATATCGCCTCCTCTCAAACTGAAATTGTGGCGCATAAGAGCCACAACGATTCATCCCTATTCGACAATTTCTCTCGCGTTTATTGGTGTTTAATCTGACTAATCGGGCTTTGACTGACGGACCAAAGTTTCCATAGCAACTAGTTTCACGTGATCGCCAGTAATAAACAATACATATACAAACGCGCGTACGCACGCACAGATACTCACATATGCGCACTCTTACACACAGAGTAACGTCAATATATAGAAAGAAAAGCAACACTGGGAATTTAACAACATACCCACTCTACACTCAGCACCATATGAATCGATTTCGCGTGCTTACCTCCTTCGTGCGGAGGTTCTACTGTACGTGAGATCTAGGAGAGGTTAGCAGTATAGCGCTTCATAAAACAGCGATCTAACTCTGGGACGCCCTCCAACAATATTACCAGTAACTGGACAACGTTACTGGTACGTAATTCGGTCTCATTAGGCTGCTGCGGTTGCTACTACAACTACGGATGTACTGATAACTACTAGATTGTATTACTGAAGGGCGTCCGATAGTCTATCATGAAGCGGGTTTAGCAGACGATTCGGCTGAATGCAAGCCTTGGGTCCAACGTGTCACCCAAAGTCGGACACATTTCGTGCGTCTACCCATGTGTAGTTCATAAGTTTACCACGTTACCTCTCGCACACGCACGCACGCACGACCAGTGCAACGAGCAAGTGTCGACGTGTACCTTCCTTACAGCTGCCTGAATGGATTCCATATTGCATTCCAGGTGCGCTACCATGATTAGATTGTCATTATGCAGCCGATCACTCAACACATTTGGCTCGGTAGCGCGGGGGGAGGGTGAGGAGGGCACATGGCAACAGTAGCAGGGGTCGCAGGAAGCACATGCGGTCAGTAGCTTGCGCACACGCACTTTCTTCGCACACGCTACTTACGACTACACTAGAATAGAGCAAGCCTCATCTCCAGCTTGTCAGATGAGAAAGCGTCTTATCATGCATTCAGCCGAGGCGGACTCGTACGTAACCCGCTCATGACTGTCCTACCTTGGAGTAATCATTCTGAGTAATCATTCCGAGTACTCCAATGATTACTCAAAGGTCCAGCCAACGCTGGACAGCGCGCTATGTGCTAAGACCGGCATCAATCACCATGCTTAATGTCACGTACAAACCTGTGCGTCCGGTGCGCTGGAAAAGCCGTGCATATCTGCCGAGGATGAAGAAACGCGGCAGATCCATCGCAGGCCACTTATATAGCGCTACACACGGACGCACGCACAGACATCGAGCGAGGTGACAGATACACTTCATCTGCGACAGTAATGTCTTCGCTGTCCCCTTCCCTCAAGTTCGTCTCTCATTCGTATATCATTTTGGTGAATTTCTGCGTCGTCCTTGCATATTTCTGCACCGCATTCGCTGCGTGTCTTGAACATGTAGCCAGAGAGAGAGATAATCAGCCAACAATGATATCGGCGAGTGAAACAGAGCTTGTGAGATAACGGGAACTACAGTCAGGCCATCTGTGACAACTTCAGAACTTTCCGATCGCGCGGCCAAACGAGGAGAGCAGAGGAGAACGTTCGTTGGTTGTCACTGGCCCGACATGCGTTCACTATGCACAGGCAATATGGCTGGACCTGCACGTAATCCTAACGAACGAGTTTCCCAGGAGCAGCCATAAGTTGCTAGGCAGAACGAACGCACGGATATCGCACTGCGCCCGCGGCACGGCTACCAGCTCCACGCTGGTCAGACCACACCTCTCACCAAGCCAGAGGAATGCAGGCAAGGACTTCGGGCGCAGTGCGACATCCACGCATACATACGAACACAAACACACACGCACGCACACACACATAAACATACGAGCACAACGTTGTCGCAGTGAAGAAGGCCCAAGCTCCAGCATGTCAGCTTGGGATGCGAATCGATCGTCCACGGCGAGATTAGTCGAAGCCCGATATTACAAGCGGAGCGAGCGCGGGAGCGTCCTGCCACCTGGTGCTCCCAGGGGGCGCCACGCTCCCGCTTCCCGCGATCACAGTGTAAAACGCAGAGCATGCTATACTTCCGCTTGACGCGCCACCACCGCGCAGCCCGTCGTCTCGCACCCCCTTCTCCTCTGAAGCCATAAAGAAGACATAGAGAGAGGGGGAGAATGAGGAGAGGCTGACTGCGCGGCCTGCGCGGGACAAGCACGCTCGCAAGGCGCCGAGAACTGCCACGGCCCGGAGTCCTGCCGGCGTAGAGAAAGCCTCAGGTCCAGCGTGTCACCTGAGGAAGGCAACGCAAAGCAGCAGCAGCATCATTCGTCTACGCCACGCGCGGGGACTCTCTAGCAACAAGGGCACGTCGCAGTTGTCGACTCGATATAAGTTCGAGACTCATTTTCGCCCGCACTGCCGTGAGTTTTACGCAATAACAGAGGATGTCGGCGTTTCCCAGTACGAAGGCAAACGAGCGCGCAAGTAAGCAGTACGGGGAAAATGAACCCCTCTCATTCCATGACTCAGCAACGCAGCGACAAGGGCACGGTCACGAACCCACGGACGTGCCTGTGTGCGCTGTCAGCGAGAAAAGTGGTTAGCGTGCATTGCTGAGCCATGGCTCCAAGGAAACTACCCAGAATGCAATTGGAATAAAGAAGGCCTCATCTCCAGCGTGTCAGATGAGGAAGGATGCTCATTCGTTTATGCCAAGAGTTTCTAAGATGGCTATCCTGGAACAGTTATGCGGATGACAGGACCGGGTGACAGAACACAGTAGTTAAACATAGACCACTGCATGGTGTCAGCTGGTCGCGCCACCGACCCAGAAACATACCTATTAGTTTGGCATCGTAAACATTCGCTGCCACTCTAACAGGCCTGAAGACAGCACAGCAACCGCCGTACATTTGCCCCCAGCATCTTTCCTTGTACGCGGCATCATGCGCACACGCACCGTCCTCACCTAGTGACGTATGCGAAGTAGTGTCACCGGCAGGAGAAAATTTGTGCTCGCATACTTAGCTGACAAATCTCTCTTACATTGAGATGAACGCACACGATGCAGTATGATGTTTTACCCTGTGCACAGACAGTCTGCACACACTCCATGATGTGCTACTGTGTACACAGCCACTAATACGTCCAGTGGTTGACAAAGTTTGAGTAACATATAGTCAACAGCTAGGTTGTCTACGATCGTGTGTCAACAGTTAGCACGGCTGGGAGCACGACTGCGTGAACGCATGCGTGAATCAGGTAAAAACATTTCTACAAAGATTTCGTGATTGGCCGAGGAGCAGCCACTGCTTCACGTGCGTTCATCTGGTGACTCAACCAGCAACTTTGGCATGCTATAAGTTACAAACTGTAAAAGGGTATAAAAATACAAACTTTCAAAAATCTGTACATCGTTATTCCACTTTTAACCGATTTTCCTGACTAGATATTTACAAAAGAAAACGGGGGTAATAACGTGTTATGTGGTTAGAAGAAGAACTGAAAGGTGTTCTGACCTGTAATGAAACTTATGAAAGTTTAAAGCTGTCAAAGATAACTTGATACATATTATGGCTGTGTTACCTGGGCACAGGCTAGGTCCGACGTGTGTATGAACTGTTGGATGAGCTAAAGCTAAGGCTATCTGTTGTAACATGTGGATGTGAAAACTGGAGTGGACAAGGCTCCTTGATATACGTGCGGCAAAATAAAACTGCTATCAAAAATAAAATTCACCAAAATTCAATATACACAGCATTCTCTCACTTAACAAGTCATAAATACATTAGTAGAGTAATAAATAATTCATTTCAAATGTACACTTATTCCCAGCGTGCAACTGTTTAGAATTTTCCCCAAAAGCTCACATCAAACACTACACACAGTGACTGGCGAACAGAGTAGTCTAGTTGCCATGGAAACCTACCGAAGGTCACCAGCAGCAATGCACAGCGTGCCACTAGTCAAATTAAACACCCAACGCGATAACAAGCAATTGATAATCAACAAACATTTAACTAAACACGTTATAATTCAAGAGTCGGGAGGGGAGTCCAGAAAAAAAGCGACTCATAAGCAGGCCTTCAAAATGCCACAAACGACCGAGCTCACAGCTCTTCATGTATCATGGCTGCCACAAAATGGTGGGCAAGCTGTCCGAAGCCCTCAATGCCATGTGTCCACAGCCGATGCATCACAGGCTCAGAGGTCACATGATAGCCCAGTGCAGTGACGATTGTTCAGGCCACACACTACAGATTATATATAACATTTAAAACTTCCCCAGCCTTTCATTTGTTAGACAGTTCTATTTCAAAATGGGTTAAATATTGTTGTTAGTATGGCAATTAATTAACACGTTACACATCACTACCTACTTGTCGATTGGTGTTTTTATTACAAAAATTCAGTTTTTCTTAAACCTTGCACAAACAATTACCATTATTAAAAATCCAATCAATAAACAGAAATAATAACCGTGCCGAATTCCGTCAAACAATCCAAACACCCATGGGACGCCCAATAAGATTTTTTTTATTAGAACTGAATTTGTCCCGAAAAATGTCGATGGCCCTCCCTCCGATACTAAAACCAATGCCTCGCAAACGTTAATAGCAGAAAATGATTTCTGTGGCCAGTGTAGTCATGCAACCTGAATAATCGTCACTCGTCGTAGGGTACCGTGACAGACACAATCCACAGTGTCATAGTAGCTCGAATACCTACCACGGGAGCAATGGTTAAGCTCAGTGACCTCTGAACTCAGATGCAGTGGATGCAGCTCACTAGTGACTCCAAACGCACAGGGAGTTGAGAAAATAAATGAGACAAAACGTAAATCCACAAGATCGCCAACGTCATCCTCCTCACAGGGAGTAAAATTCGTGTCATCATCTCAATGTGGGATAGTCGATACATTGGTGGGATACACTTCATACATGGTTGGAGACAACGTGCATGAAATACAGCCAAGGTATATAAGCAGAGAGAACACAAATTGTGTGCCGATGTTGCGCTGCTAGTCTGTTCATCTCTTCTTGCACAACTCCTTATGCACCACTTAAATGACCGAAATGATTCAGAGAGTGTTTGGCAGTTGAGTTGTTTTATTTTGATAGTTTACTTATGATCCGTACGAGGGCGCTTTTCTCAGCTCTCATGCGCTGATTGTCTGCTCTCAACTCTTCCATGTTCTGAAATCAAACAAATGTAGTATATTATAGACCCTCTCTAAACACCTGTAGTAAGATCTAATACATAGATATCAACATAAGAGTGCATTATATATATTCATGTGATAATATTGCACTTCATACACAGAACAGATACATAGATGCTTTTATAGATCAAATTAATTGGGGGTTTAGGAAAGCTTGGATTTTTACAAAGAAACAGTAAATAATGCATTGACCATCCAATTCACCTAAATTTACACTAATATTTGATGATTATGGATTATGATATTATATAAAGTCAGTTTACGAATGCAATTTAAATTTGCTTTTTCTTTTGCAAAGTAGACTTTTGCAAAGCATAATTTTGCATAATAATAACACAAGCATTGAAGGAAACATGAAATAGTTTTCATTTACAGCAGATATTTCACACACGTTTCACACTTCCATATATCCTAATGCACGCACGCACACACGAAGGCACGCACACTCACGAAGGCACGCACACACACACACGAAGGCACGCACGCACACACGAAGACACGCACACACACACGAAGGCACGCACACTCACGAAGGCACGCAGGCACGAACGCACGCATGCACGCGAACACGTATGCAGTTGAGCACTCACATACATAAAAGCACACTGATGCACACATTCACAAACACGCACATGCACGCACACACGTACAAATACTATCGCACACATGAACTAAATGAATTAGAATATAGATGTTGTAAGCAAAATCCAAACAGAAATAACAAGAAGTCCAAACAGTATGAACTCCACAAAATGTTCTGATAGCAACCTGTACCAGAACGGTAACAAAGCAAGCAAAATACACAACATATGAACAGGGTTAAGCTCCTGGATAAGCATAGGCAACTGACAGACAACTTAATGGTTGGTTATGTATACAAGTATTGGCACACGTGCATGCACACGTACGGCCGCACACGTGCATGCACACGTACGGCCGCACACGCGCACAAACGCACGCACACAGCAAAATACTGTGACCTTTGTCTCTATTAACATGAACACGTTTGCTACCAGAGATGGACCACAGTCGTTTTAGAAATTAAGATGCAACGGAGGAATTCCTGTTCAGAATGCACATCATAACTGATATCATTATTGCAAAACTGCTGGTTAAGGTTCGGACTATTATTAGAGATTTGTCGGTTAATTCAGGGTCGTGGTAGCGATGTCAGCACTTGGGAATGCCCTGCAAATAATTACAGCTATATCTGTTTCACAGAGATTTCTGCTCTGCTTATACCAAGTGCAGACTTACTAGTTGACAGCTGCCTATATCACCTCGAGTTTATATATAACTCATGTTCGTTCGAAAACCGTTCAAGGAAAATTTTCCAGTTTTGCCCGATGACTAAAACTGATGGCCGATTCGGGACGGTCGACTCGGCTGGGTGTTGCTATTCAAAAATGCGCAGAATTTAAGTTGCAAGGATTTCACTAATTGAATAATTCACTAATGAACCCGGCCGCTGTTATATTATGTAGACGTGAGGCAGTAATATTTTCAACCAACTTGCATCATTTTAATCCACAAAACCTGTTCGTTTTCACGAAAAATCCGTTGTTAGTTGTTTGGTTGGTGTTTGTACGGGACTCTGATATGCGTGCAAGCGTCAGACATTGAGGCAGGGACATGCTGTTATATAGCCTCTATGCGTGGAAACTTCTTCATGCCAACATTACATCATTTAGCACTACATTTACCAGTTACTTGGAAAGTTTTGACACCACTCGCGTCAGCGCCCTATTTTCCTCTTTCAATTTCGTATTTTCAGCTTTTAATTTTTCCAATTGCTGAAACAAGAAGGTTTTTGACATCAAAACAAAACAAAATGTCAGAACAGTGTTCACCTGTATAAATAAAATCCATTTTAGCAAAGGGAGTGAATGGTCCCCGATATATGAACCGGATGAAGTACAGGGTAGCATGTAAACTATATTCTATACATTACCATAACCTGTATTTGCAGCTCACCTTCACTTCCTCCTCCAATTCTGACATCTTTTTCTCCGTGATTCTTTTGTCCTGTAGAGAAAAAATCGAAGATTACCCATTTCCCCCCATTAGCAACTACACATGAACACCACACAGTGGCTATCTCCGGTTCTATACACACCGCAACTATCGCAACAAGACAAACCTATGAAGCGCACTTAAACCTTTCAACTCGAAGCTATTATTAGTGAAGCATCATAGAAAGATGCCACTATCTCAGTAATAGTGTTCTCTAATGAAGAAGAAGACCAACCAAGCAATCAATCAGGCACAGCACTATCAACGACCACTCACTCAGACAGCATATATATATTTAGTGAGCTGTAATAGGATACACTGGTTATACCGCATTTGCAAGAATACTAGCTATTAGCCAAAGAAATAAACACAAGCGTGTCTGCTTACCTTCACGTCCAATCCTCCAGCGTCTCCATTTCGCAACTGAAACAGTGGCAAGAAAAAAAACACCGGTTAGACAAAAAACTCCCGAAAATAACACGGTAAAAACTGGGCCAGGAAAATGAGAGTGCCGACTAAAATAACCACGTAGGTATCGAGCAACTTTACCAGCAGAACTGCTTACCAACTCTTCAAGTTGCTTTTTGACCGCTTGAAGATCAGCATCGGTAGTTCGTAGCTTATCTTTCAAGTCTTCGTTCGTTCGTTTCTCTTCTTCGTACAACTGCAGCACGACCAAGAGTAAACATCAGATCATTCGATACTTGAGCAACCCTGGGCATTGTAAAGTGCTGTTCATATTACCAGGGGTGAATACTGTCAAATTTTCATTGACAAGTTCAATGACAATTTCAATTCAATGACAAATTCATGACAATTCTGTCATTATTCACTCCTGATATAGGATCAGTCTCGATTGCTTAAGATCAGTCTTGTTGATCAGTCTCGATTGCTTGTCGATTGCTTAGGATCAGTCTCGATTGCTTAGGATCAGTCTCGATTGCTTGTCGATTGCTTAGGATCAGTCTCGATTGCTTGTCGATTGCTTAGGATCAGTCTCAATTGCTTGTCGATTGCTTAAGATCAGTCTCGATTGCTTGTCGATTGCTTAGGATCAGTCTCGATTGCTTGTCGATTGCTTACCACCAACGCCCCGACTCCCCCTCACCTACATAACCACTGCACTACTCCTACCATCCCACCAACGCCCCGCCCCACTTATCTACCTATAACCACTGCACTACCCCTACCATCCCCACCAACGCCCGCACACCCCCTCACCTACATAACCACCGCCCACTTCACCGTCAAGTACCTACATCTAGAAGCCAACTCTCCAACTACCATCCCCACCAACGCCCGCACACCCCCTCACCTACATAACCACCGCCCACTTCACCGTCAAGTACCTACATCTAGAAGCCAACTCTCCAACCCAGCATCCCACCACGCCAGAGGAAGTGCAAGGGGTGAGTGCTACAGCTTCCCCACCGGGTAGGCTTTGCCCCCGCAGGAAAAAACAGTAGTGCTTCAGCGCGAACGATCTTTAAAAAAATTGCAGTTGCTTTTTATCTGTTATACCGTTGCGCTATAGTCGCAGTAATACTTTTGAAACCAATCACCATGATGAAGGGCTGATTCATCTGTACATAGCATATATTACTATATTACATTATATTTTAACACATTACATTATGTATGTATGTATTAATATATGTACACATTATATTATATATTACATACAATAGTTATGGTTGTGGTAATAATTTCCCGTTAAAAACGCTAAAGATACCATTTTTATAAATTTCAAATTAGGGGAAAACCTTAGTTTTGTACAGAGTTTGACAACTTGCAATGCGAGTCCCCCACCCCTAGGTCTAAGGACGACAGCCGCTTGGATCTGGTGCCACCCCTACAGTGGTCTGCACCACCCACATCCCCATCAATTCAAAACTCGGTCACCCACATTCCAACACCCTATACCACTCACGTCTGAACCCCGCCCCTAACATCACCCATGCCCTTACCCTGATACACTCTAACACCCTACCATCCACACCCTAACTCTCTTCACACTCTGCTGCATATGCACTAACCCCATCACACTCCACCACCTCCACCCTAACCCTCCCCCCCACACACACACACTACGTCACACACCCTAACCCCCTCGCACATACACACTACCCCCTCCCCCTTAACCCCCCCTCCACACACACACTACATCACACACCCTACTCCCCTCGCACACTAACCTCCGTCCAACGCTCACACCCTACCAACCACACCCTAACCCCCCTCCACACACACTCTACCCCCTCGCACACTATAACCTCCGTCCAACGCTCACACCCTACCAAGCACACCCTAACCCCCCTCCACACACACCCTACCCCCTCGCACACTAACCTCCGTCCAACGCTCACACCCTACCACCCCAACACCCTTAATTTACGACACCAGAGAGGAGCGAGAAACTAAAAACGCTTACACTAGCAGAACCAAATCCCGAATAGCTGGGACTCGCGTCTTTCGACAGAGCCGAGCCTCTCTCGTAGGCGGAGTAGGGCGTGTAACCGCCGCTCAGTGACTTTGCGGGACTCGACGTCGAGCCGTACAGCGACGACGAGCCGTAGTTTGTCGGCGTCGAGTAGCCAGAGTTAGACTTGGGCGTGCTGTATCCGCTGCTGTACGGACTGCTATAGCCCGACGAGCGCGTGCCCGAGCCGAGACTGGACAGCAGTGGACTAGAGTAGCCGCCGCCGGTGGCCTTCGAGCCGTAACCACCGCCGCTGCCGTAGTTGCTGCTGCCGTAGTTGCCGCTGCCATAGCTGCTGCTGCCGTAGTTGTTACCGCTGCCGCCGCTGCCGTAGTTACTGCTGCCGTAGCTGCTGGGTGAGTACTTGTTGGATGTATTCCCCGTCCCGTACGACGAACCTAGACCGTAGCGGCCGTACGACATGGTCAAGCGGTGATGCTAGCAACTGTGACACGGGACTGGAGGCCGGGATGCACTCTGGCCCCGATCCACGCCGTCCGGAGCCGTGTGCGTGTGTGTGGTCACGCACGCTACACCGTTAGCAAGCACTACACTGCAAGCTTGATAATATATGATGCACGTTATTGATTTTTCGATGTTGGTTATATTATCCGAAACTCGTTTTTTGTCAGGTCCCTCGCGTCCGATGCGTGGAATTAATAAGCACTCGACGAAACAGCCTCAGAAATCACTGACAGTACGCTATAACTGACAATCCATGTATCGTGGCTCGAGTCAAGCTGCGTACACGCTAACGCAATGACGGTCTCGATGCCAAACAAAAGCACGTGTCTTCATTCGGTCCAATAGCAGCTTATGACCGTAGCAACACCTTGTGCACTCGCAAAGTACGACGCGCGAAATTAACAACACCTGGGTAACGTGTTCATACCCCGTGACGTGTGCAGCCGCTGTAAGCGCGCGCGAACAGTACCGCGTAGCGTGCACGCAGCCAGCCCGAGTGCTGCGAGGAGCAACCGCTGGTGGCGCCACCGTACGCGCAAGACGAGATGGCGCAGACTGAAAGGAATGCCGGACGTACGGGTGGAAGAAGCAAGGCACTGCGAAGCCCTAATGCCAGCCAGCTGCAACACACACCAGACGCCGGCGAGCTATTTTTAGCGGGAAAGGAACACATGTAGGGCAGCGGCTGCCGCGTTTGAAAACAAATAGCATGTGGATGCGCGCGTACGCGCCTCCCCGACCCGGTCTGCAGCCCCCTGACGCCGCTTGAAATCCTGTTAGATGAAGTTAGCCTAACTACTTCCTCGCTCCTCCTATCACATATATCACTCCACGATAGGATGCTGTAGTAGTACGCGGGATTTCCAGTCGTAGTAGCAATAGCTGTCGTCATATTCGCAGCAGCAGCAGCAGCAGCAGCAGCAGTAGTGCCACTAGCAGTAGCAGTAGCAGCAGCAGCAGCAGCAGCAGCAGTGCCACTAGCAGTAGCAGTAGCAGCAGCAGCAGCAGTAGAAGTAGTAGTAGCAGTAGCTGTAGTCATATTCGCGGCAGCAGCAGCAGCAGCAGCAGCAGCAGCAGCAGCAGTAGCAGTAGCAGCAGCAGCAGCAGCAGCAGCAGCAGTAGCAGTAGCAGTAGCAGTAGCAGTAGCAGTAGCAGTAGTAGTA